TGGAGCACAAGTGTGAGGAGCAGCTGAGGGAGCTGGGGGTGCCCAGCCTGGAGAGCAGGAGGTGAGGGGAGACCTGCTGGCTCTGCAGCTGCCTGAGGGGAGGTTGGAGTGAGGGGCTTGGGCTCCTCTTCCAAGGAACAAGTGCTAGAACCAGAGGAAAGGGGCTCAAGTTGCACCAGGGGAGGTTTATTAGGATATAGGAACAATTTCTTCCTGGGAAGGGTTGTCAGGGCCTGGCCCAGGCTGCCCAGGGCAGGGGGGGAGTCCCCATCCCTGGAGGGGTTTCAGAGCCCTGGAGATGGTGCTGAGGGACACGGGGCAGGGGTGGCCTGGGCAGGGCTGGGTTAATGTTGGACTTGATGATCTGAAAGGTCTTTTCCATTCCTTTCCTTCTTCCGTCCCACTTCAGGTGCCATGCACCAGTACTGCTCCAGCTTCCATCATGTCCAGCTCTCCCTGCTCTGACCAGTCCCGAGGACACACACTCTGCACAGTGACAAAACCTGCAAAAAAGGGGGGCACATATTGTGATATTGTTACATATTTTACCAAGGGAGTCAGCCCATTGGGCAGTGAGGTTGGGGTCTCCCAGGCACCCCTTTCCCTATCTCTGGGGGATAGAGGGGCTGGACACTGGTATGTCAGAGCAGGCCCAGCGAGGTGGGGACAGATGGCACCAGAGCAGAACATGGTGCTGGCACTGCAAGCACTGCCACCCCACTCAGGCCAGGACTGGAGCTGCTAGCATCCCTTGTTACAGAGACACCAGCATCCATTACACCCACATCAGAAAGATCTGTTTCCAAGAGACCAAATCTCCTCTTCTGGTTGATGTCAGGGCCTGAATTCCCAAGGATAGAGAGTCGTGAGCAGGAATTCTGCCTGAAAAGCAGCAGCTCAGCCAGCTGTTCTGTCTTGGTTGTGTTTTTTCAGATGCCCGTACTCAGCGTGAGTACGATGAGAGCCACATTGTCACAGCACGGAGGATTGAGCAGGTCAGG